TGATGAATGTCGATGAGTCTGAAGACGACGAGGATGATGGAAGTGACGACGAGGATGATGACGAAGAGCCTATTTTGGATATTGAGGCTGCTGAGTCTGTCGGTTCTTCTGATGCTGAGGAATCCCTGGAGGAGAACGAGGATGAGGACGACGATGAGGACAGCGATGGCTCGATGGTTGACTTCATTGCCGACACGGAAGACGACGAGTCTGACGATGCCGCTCAGGTGCAGCCCCCGCCATCAAAGAAGAGCAAGTCTTCTGCTTCTGTCGGCAAGAAGAGCAAGGGCGGCAGAAAATAAGCGTGTCTCTCTTTTCAAGTTGTACGAATTAGAGATGGGAGAAGGGGGTTACGGTCTATAAAAGAACATATTTTATTTTATCCTTTGATGCATCCGACGGGTCTGCATTTCATTTTTCTTTGTTTTTATCTTTTGCTTTCGATATCTTGTGCCTCTACCGAGCGCCTCTTGCGTCTCTATCAATGTCTATTGAATTCTACCTTGGTATCTTGATATCTCTCTTCCTTGTATAGAGTACTCCGTACTTCCTCAGTAGATATGACTATGCAGATCTGTCAATCTACTTGCTATTTATACCAGCAACTCCTCCCCCTGACAGGGGCCCTCATGCAAGACCCTATGGCCCGGCACTCCTTTCTCCCCGAGGGGGATCAGCACGGATGTCGTCCGGTCCTGCGAGGGGTAGGTAGTGAAGTGACCCAATGCACTAACATCAGCGGTGTCGAGAGCCAGTATGACTCCATTCTTGCCACCTTCAATCCAGGCCTCGGTAGTCGAGTTAGGGATCGTAATATGCGCTAAGCCGGAGAGGAAGACCACCCATCTATAAGTGCGAATTTAGCCAAGAATGTGGAAGCCCGCTCCGGAGTATAAAAACAAAACAACTCATTACAAAGAAAACAACTCATCCAGGGTCATTTTGAAACAGCAAAAGACATGCGTATTGAAGAATATATGGAAAGGAGCATAATACTTACTGTAAAGCAGGTGCATTATGCCTACCCCCATCAAACCCAGCCGGCAACACCGTAAACGACGCGTTCCCACCGATAGTCCCCAAATCCAGCGCAGAGCTCCCGACCTGGCCGGGTTGAACGGAAGTTTCAAATCCCGGCCGGAGCGCCCAGCACTCTAGGGTGGAGCGATTGTGGCGGGCGCCGAGGACGGTTATGTTAAGGGTGGCGAGGGAGGGATCGGAGGTTTGGGCGAGGATCGTGGATGGGAGGACGAATTGGATGAGGGTTTGAGGGCGCATCTTGAGGATATTAAATATGTAGGAAAGATAGAATAAGGAGAAGATCTAAGAGCTGGAGCTGGAGCTGAGATCCGTTCTGGATAGCTGAAGGTGGAGTGAGATCTTCCCCTACAAGCTTATTACAGGGCACTAATGCGGAGATCAATGTATTGCATATTAGTACTACATATGTATTTGGAATGTGAGATTCCACCGGGTGCCGAAGACCACGAATTACATGTGCTACATGTGCTACATGTGTATATGTTGAATCTGCTTTTTTCGCTCGACTAATTCAAGGACATGTAAGACATATATCCAAGCTTCGATGGTGCAAGCCAATCCCGGAGATGGTTTTCTTAGTCCTGATGATATTGCCCGCTATAAGAAGATAAAATATATTGGGGATGAGTTATGAATGAATTAATCTCTCACTGTGAAAGAGGTATAGTTTAGAATTTCTTTATATATGGATGGGTATTCGTTATAGAGGCCGGAGCTCTACTGCATATGTACCCATCAAAAGAGGGCTTTCACTTGGTTGGATTGGACAATAGAAGACAAGAACATAAGAATTCATTTCCTCAGAACAAAAAATGATAAACCTACTTACCTAAGTTCTCTCTTTGCAGCATTTAACTAATAAAAATATAAATGCTTAATGATAGTGAGAGTACCCAGTACCCAGACCCAAGAGGACAAAGAATACTAACGAATGACTTCACCACCAGACTTCTCAATACCCTCGAGGCCTTCAAGAATGTCGCTTCCACCGAAGAGTCCACAAGCAGAGCTAGTGCTTGTCCTTCTTCCCGTCCAGACCTCGTGGAACTTCACAGTTTGATCACTAGACGCGACAATAATGCACCCCTCCTCCTTTGTTCGCGTGCACCACATTCCACCTTCTTTCTCCTTGGGAGTAAACGTCCGAGCACCAACCTTGCGGCTACAGGTCGGGGCTACTTGCTCCGGAGACCGAGTCTGACTTGACGAGGATGAAGACGAAGGTGACGATGGCTGACTGTCCGGTCTACTAGAGTGTACACCCGAGAAACGAGAGGCTTTCCCTGGATATCGCACTGCCCACAGTGCCCTTCCGCAGTCGAAGTTGTTGATTCGAGTCTCGGGGCCATCCCAGGTGGTTCCATAGGGCCCCCAGGGAATGACGGCCACCTGTGCGCAGCTAGGCCAAGCAAAAACAGCGATTCTAAATGGGTGATCTGGCTGTGCATAACCGAAAGTAGCGGCGATCTCACGTCGCGTTTCGCTCCATATAAGACTGGTCACCTGCGCGAAGACATTGATGGTTGCAAGACAGGCTCCACTCCGGGTGTGATAGAAGTGTATAGATTTGTCGTTGGTACCTCCTCCCGTGGCGAGCAGGGAGGACTGCCATGGCGCAAATGCAATTGCTTTGACCGCAGCGGAGTGCGGCAAACGATGTTTCTGACGGTCGTATGGGACCAGAATCGTTCTTCCACCACCAGAAATTAGAGTGCCTGCATGGTTTAAAATTGCGGCTGCGGTTGAAGGCTTAATCGGAGCAGCAAGCCATGATGGAAGAGCAGGTCGCCTAGGAAACAGTCTCCTTGTCGCGGTGCGGAGGGCAAGGTATGGAAATACACCGAGGCTGGAGCTGCTAGGGGAATCCGGGAGCGTAATGGATCCGACCGGATAATTCAAATGCTGTGACGGAACAATCTTGGCTAGTTCAAACAGAAGACAGACATTATCATTACCGCCCGTGGCAAGGTACTTCTCATCGGGTGACCAAGCCAGTCCACATATTTGTTCAGTGTGTGCACAGATCTTGGCAAGAAGCGTCATGGACCCGTTCCATTTCCACTTAGCTTGGTCTTCTTTGTCAGACCACTCAACCGAATAGTACCAGACATTTCCAAATTCATCACCGACAGCAAGCTCTTCCGCTTTGACTTCCACATGCATGAACCGCTCTGAAGGTCGCCGTGATGTTCTCTGTTTGAATGCCACGCATGTAAGGATACTGGGATGACTGATCTCAAACCGGGCTTGCTTCTCGAAGGTGCTCCATAGAGACAACTGACCAGATTGACGAGCCACTGCAAGAATGCTTCGCTCTCCATCCTCAGAAGAAAACGACAAGGAGGTTATATAATTTGAGGGGTGCAAATCTGGAAAAGGAGGATAATCCACACCATGGCCTTCAGACCAGAGATATACTTGATGACCTAGGCCCACGGCCAGTATCCCAGATGTTGTTGAGTATGCAAGAGTGCTACAGTAAAAATCGTCCCGAAGGAAGGGAGCATCAAGGATTCGAAAAGGCTTTGGTGGAACGACCTCTTTCCTGCCAGGAGATCTGGGCCCTGAAAGCAATCTGAGTCAGTTGATGCCCCAAGAAGGCTGTGCATACCGCCAGTCTCACAATTTCCAAAAGTTTGATTGAAATATTACATATGTTTTATCTGTGAATGGTAAATTTATTCCAAAGATAGGACTGGGGTGGCTGTTGCAAACTACAGTTGCACTTACAACATTCCTTTTCAACTTTCTTCCAAGCACTGTCCTTCCATACAAATGGGGAGAGGCGCTCGAAGTCTGGAGATGCTGGACTGAGCGGAGCATCCAGATACCGTAGACAAGTCCCTAGCTGTTTAGTCGTGGGGTCAATTCCCAAAGCAAGCGCAAGCCTCGACTCATGGATTTCTTGTTCACTGTGCTTGGGTCTCTTGGGTAACAATTGAGCTACGAAAATCGGGGCAGTTGACGATCCATTGATTGAAGTGATTGGCGTGTCATCAGGAGCCGCAATAACGGAACTACCGAGGACTGCAGAAGCCCCACCCACGTTCCAGACTGCACCGGAACTAACCTGCCTCAAAGATCCATGTGCAACATTGTTGCCTGTGATGTTGGGTTCGGTGACTAGACGTGGCCGTTGATGTGGAATCTGTTGGAGTCGAGTTGGCTGCTGGAGTCCGCTAGCGGTATAAGTCCTATGCAGGGTTGAAGGTAGAAATGGATAATCCCCGGGAGGAAGTCGTCGAAGTAGTCTCTCTTGAGGCGAAAGACGCTGCGGGTGCTTGGCCACACGAAATGTTGTTGATGTGGGTTCGACGAAGTCTCGCTTTGGGATGAATCTATCAGGCGAGAGTGGACTTCGAAAGGACTTTCCTGCTACTGCTGTATTTCCAGTATTTCTCACTCTGCAGCGACCTCTTTTGGGTGACAAGACTCGATTTTCTTTGAAATGAGGGATGGGTGTGAGAACAGGTTGGGCCTTGGGCTTCGGCAATGATTGAGAAGTAGGTGTTTCAAAGAATGGCAAATTTATGGTTGCAAATTCAGTCAATTGGACAGGTCCACTATCCTTGGAAGACTCGGATCGAGAGTGTTTGTGACTGCCTGGGGAGGTTTCCTCGAAGGAGTGACGTTGCATATCTACCATTGTTCTGGATGTAGGTGGATAAGCTGTATATGAGTAATGACCTAGATCTAAGAAAAGGAATGTATAAGGAGGCCTCTCGTTCAAGGCATAGCGACAAGACGAGAAAGGTGAAGCAAAGACAAGTCCTCAAAAGTTCATATGTAGAAAGAGCGATCACGTGAAGCTATACAACCTTTCAAGGAAGGAATACCGGATATTACATAAGCTACCCCACCGCCTCATGCACCAATGAGATAATTCTAGTTGGCATCTGATCAACACGAAGCAACCTAACACATTTGGCTTACTTCTTATTGTCAAACAAACAGTGAAAATGCCCAGTGTGAGGTTAAAGTCCCCATGGCTGTACCGCTTCGGGCTGACAATTGTGATAGCATGGTGTGCCACGGTACAAGCCAGTTGAGAAGTCCGCCGAGGCACGACAGCAAGAGCTGCAGAAGATAGAAAATTACAAGGATCTCGAACGTTCCGTATCCAAAAAGGTTGGTCGTCCTATGCCACCTGACATATAAGCAAAATCTGATAGAAGACAGGTGGCTGAGCATGAGTACACAATGGAGACCTTGAAGAAGATCTCGGAGCTGCTGTCTAGCAACCCAGAATATTACACAGCCTGGAACTACCGCCGGCAGGTACTGCAGTATCAATTCTCCCAGGCAGGAGGCTCGGATGATGAGACTGCCCATTCAATTACACAGTTAATCGTGAATGATCTACATTTCCTCATCCCCCTTCTCCGGAGCTTCCCCAAGTGCTACTGGATTTGGAACTATCGTTTATGGCTTTTGGATGAGGCTCGCCGTTTACTATCCCTCCCCGAAGCCCGGCAAATCTGGCAGCAAGAACTTGCCCTTGTGGGTAAGATGTTGACTCTTGATAGCCGGAATTTCCACGGGTGGGGTTATCGCCGCTTCGTGGTTGAGACCTTGAAGGAGCTTGGTACCGCCGAAGAAGCAACAAGCATGACCGAGAAGGAATTTGAATATGCGACCAAGATGATTGGCGCCAATCTTTCCAACTTCTCCGCGTGGCATTACCGGACAAAGCTTATCCAGTCGCTTTTGGATGAGCAATCTGCCAGCGATGACGACCGGAGAAGAATGTTGGATGATGGTTGGTCTAACTTGTCTTGCCAAATCTACTTTATGCTAATTTGAGTTTTTTTTTAGAACTATCTCTTATTCATCAAGCATTTATTGATCCTTATGATCAGTCACTTTGGTTCTATCACCAAAATTTGATGAGTGTGTTTGACCCGTCGATGGCCGAACGAACTATGGCCCCCAATTTGAGCTCGTCCGACCGACTGGAGTACATTAGAAATGAGATCCAGGAGATCCAGGAGATGCTGGATGGGGCTGAAGACTGCAAATACATCTATCAGGCATTAATTGAGTGCACCCTTCTCGCATCCAAGGTGGAAGGCAGTTTGTCTTCCGAGGATCGGGACCAGATTCTAGGCTGGCTCTCAGAATTGAAGAAGCTGGATCCATTGCGACGAGAAAGATGGTTTGATTTTGAGAAGACCTTGTGAAAATAAATATTTACATACCTATGCATCCACATATTATTTGTTTATTGACCCCTTTGCCCACTATGTAGTGTTACCACACCTTGAATTCCTTATACATACTAAGATGCCACCAAGACATTCTTACAATAGCATATTAAACATAATACCCGTAGAGATAAGAATAATAATTCCAGGCTGATCATATATACATGTCGAATATGCAAATGCATTTCCAACGTCCCCAACTTGTTCCGCCCTGAGGCGCCAATCAGCGGCGAGTGTACCTGGCCATCGAATCAATCACTTGAAACTCGCCAAATTCCTTTTCCTTTCTCATTCCATATTTCCTTTCCCTTTTCGCGAATTCCACTCCCTTGTGATTTTTGGTCTTTAGCTCTTTTGAGCCTCTGCTTTTTTGCGATCCTATGGAGTGTTCCATCTTCTGATTGTTGTGAGGTCATCTAATAGCTATGACCGACATGTCTACGCCTACGAAACACAGTCCTGAGTACGAAGTGGTAAGTGGTTTAGCCTTATATATTTACAAACCCCAGCTTGCCTTGGCACGAGCTCATCGCCATCCGAATAGGAGTCTTTTGATGACGCCCTTGAAACGGCCCCAATCCAGGAGAACAACAACCTCAACGTCACAATCCCCAAGTCCGCTTCCACCCGATCATTGACCGACAGTCCTCCAATTGGCTCACATATGTCTCCGGAATCGACGGAGAAACCTCCGTTCCCTTCTGAATCGCAGGACGAGAAGAAGACCGAGACCCCCGAGGAGCAGGCCAAGGATGGCGAGGGGCTGGATGGACAGAATGACAAGATGATTAAGAACAAGAGCAAGGGGAGGAATAATGACGCAGGAATGGATACGAACGATGGGGCTCACTATAACACCAATGATGAGGTGAACACCGCGACCGATGAGCCCACCCAGGGTGAGAAGCCGGAGCAAGGGCCCGAGGTTACGCAGACAGAGAAGAACGAAGGAGATCATGATCAGAGCCCATTGCAGAAGTCACCTCTACTCACATCCCACCGTCTATCAACATCATCATCGCTCGACGAGGTGAACTTGATGAACAACAAGGAAGACGAGTCAACAGACAAGGCACAGAGCCCCCGGGACAAAACAGAACCGCCTCCATTACCCCCTAAGGACAATCCCACCCCTCCGACAAGCGCAGGTCTGATGGGTCTGTCGGGTGGCCTGCCCTCAATCCCATGGGCGGCCCCTCCAGTGAACAAGAACCCACCTGTTCCCCCGCCAGCCCCTGCTCGAAAGCCCAGTGGACCATTTGCGTGGTTCTCTCGAAGTTCAACCTCGACCAATGTGAAGGACATCAAATCCCCAACCCACTCTGCCAGCCGACGAAACACTGCCACCTCCGTATCTACTCTTGCCAGCAACCTAGACCAGATCGCTCGTGATGGCGACGACCTCTCAAGCATCGGCTCAAAGAAGCCGAGACGCAACAGCCTGAAGGATCAGTTCAAGATGCTGCGCCTGCGTGAGGAGAGCCATGCGGTAGAGGTTGATCAAACGAGCGTGCGATCTGGCCAGGCCAGCATCAGCCAGTCGGGAGCTAGCCCCCCTATCATCCCAGAGGAAGGGGAGGAGGGCATCTTGGCACCAGGAGCTATTTCACCTTCGGCGACCGTCGCTCCTGGGAGAACAGGCTCTGTGGCTGATGCTTCCACCCCGGTGGACTGGGAGATGTGGCAGCAGCTTGTGAACAACGGACCACAGGCCTTGGCAAGCTCAGAAGAACTGAATGCCGCTATCAAACGAGGTATCCCTCAGACGATCCGAGGAGTTATTTGGCAAATTTTGGCGGATTGTCAGACTGCTGATCTGGAGGACACATACCGAGAGCTCGTGGCGCGAGGTACAGCACAGGACAGAGATGGACGGACAATAAATGGTACCGAAACTACGTCGTCGCGCTCTTCAGTCCGCTCCCACCACTCGGGTTCCGGATCACGGTCTAGCAGCGCTGCCCCTAGCCCGTCTTACGAAGGAGACACCGATAAGTTGTGCAAGGAACATTTTTCCAATGACGCCGACCGTCTGAAGAAAGCAAAGACAGACGCCGTTGCGCTGCAGAAGTTGGAGAAGGTCATCAGGCGAGACCTGGGTGCTCGCACTAGCTACGCGAAATACTTTGTTTCCCAGGGCAGCCAAGAAGGCCTCTTTGGGCTGTGTAAGGCATACGCCTTGTATGATCCGGGAGTTGGATACGCACAAGGCATGAACTTTATTGCTATGCCATTGTTGTTCAACGTGAGTGAACCCTTAACTAAGCTGACTGAGCTTACAGGCTAACCTTTCATGCAGATGGACGAAGTCGATGCTTTCTCTATGATGGTCAAGTTGATGAACAAGTACTCCCTACGAGATATGTTCATTCAGGATATGCCTGGGCTTCACCGTAGCCTATATCAATTCGAGCGACTTCTAGAAGACCTAGAACCCGCTCTGTACTGCCATCTCCGGCGCCGTGGAGTTCCTCCTCAGCTTTATGCCACACAGTGGTTCTTGACTCTATTTGCTTACCGTTTCCCGCTGCAACTGGTCCTTCGCATCTACGACCTGATCTTCGAAGAGGGACTGGAGACCACCATCCTCAAATTCGGTATTGCGATCATGCGACGAAACGCAGACGCGCTGCTTGAAATGAAAGACATGAGCCTGCTCACTACTTTCTTGAAAGAGCGTTTGTTCGACGCCTACATCGACAAGCAGCCATCCACCTCGTCAATCCTGGAATCAGGCTTCTTTGGAAGCTCCGGTGCCTCCGATAAGGAGATCTACCGATCTGACATCATGGTGCAGGATGCCTGCGCCATTCCCCTCACGTCTGAGATGCTTGCCACGTACACCACCGAGTGGGAGGAAAAGACTCGAACTGAGAAAGAGCGTGAAGTCGAGCTGGAACACTTGCGGCACACTGTGAGCGCGCAGGGCGCGCGTGTTCGACTTCTTGAGGAACGTGCCGAAGCATCAGATAAGGAGCATGTGCAATTAGCGTCTGAGTTGGTGCACGTCAAGGTAGATAACGAGGAGCTGCGCGACCTCAACGAAGCGCTGCAACTACAGGTCGCCGAACTCAAGAAGGTGGTCGACAAGCAGCCGGCCGAAGTGGAGGAGAAGCTCCGCTCAGAAATGGAACGTATCATGACACGGAATATGGAGGTGCAAAACGAGAATCGTGCGATGGAAGAATCGATGTCGGAGATGGAGAAGGAGTTGGTTGCCACGAAAATGAAGTGGGCAGAGGTAAAGATATCCCCTTCAATATTCAGCGTGGGACGCCGGAGACTGACGAACACAAATAGATTTCCGAGAACCACGAGACCCTTCGCCAGAAATGGAGCGACCTTCGTCGTGCCCTCGACTGATCACCTTCTATTACCTCACCTCTCGACACCGGATAGCAGTATCCGGTTCTGTATATTTGGAATGCACAGATGAGATAACGAGGATCTGTGATCACGTCTCTATCCTGCGCATTTGCATGCTTATGGGCCAGGTCATTTGCTTTTGTTCATTTCCTCCCCGTACCTGTTTTCCCCCGTTTTGAGCCAATGTTATGATTCGCGCCTTTTTACGACCCTCTTTGGTATTTCCCTTCTCCAAGCTCTCAGCATGCCGTTTTTTGGAATCGGTGTTTTGCCTGTTGAATTATCTTTGCTTTAGTGTGTATGTCTATCTCCGATCCTCGGGCAGGGCGTACGAGACGTATGCAATGTACATCATCAATGGACTTTGTTCTCTTATTATCTAGCTTCTGCATGTATCCTACACCATCATACCTTAGCTCTATACTCTATCCCAAGTTCATGCACAAATCCACATCTAAACTCTTAAATCAATTACAGAATATTCTCATAGTAACTCGTCAACACATCCTCCTTGACAGGCCCAGCACAAGCCTTGAGAAGCTTATGCGCCTCACACTCGCTATCATAGTACTTCATATCCTCTATCGAAGCAAAAGTCGTCTTGACAGACAAGTTGTATCCCTTATTGCGAGGATCGGGGATCGAAGCGCCAACAGCAGCAGCGACGATGTAGGGCTTGCCGTCCTAAAGAAAATACCCGTTAGTAACCGTTGCGTTTCATTCCGAACCTCCCCGTCCATTCCTCTCCGATTGGATAGGTAGTACAACATAGTTTATAAACATAGGCACGGAATGCACAGGACTGTGTATAGCAAATGCACTCACCTTTGTAGCAGTCTTCGCAAGAACCTTGTACTGCTCTAGTACGCGGTCGCGATCCGCCTCGTTGGGGATCTTGAAGAGAGTGATTCGCTCGATAGGGGCCATTTTTGTGATAGTGAGGGTGAGTCGAGACATTTGGGGTTGATCGGGGGGGGGGGTTTATACTTATATATGGTGGGGTTAATGTTTAATAATCTCCAACGTTCCTGAAACTTCCGCTTGTGAAGTGTCGGAGTAGATCCGTTGATTCATGATTTGTTCAAATCGGGGATTTTTCCAGGTGTCAGTACTGGTGTTGACCTTGGTTGTCTACAACTTCGACATCTGCTATATCTATCTCATCAACTAAGAGTATTTCTTTTGTGAATGGGCGGAATGGTGTTGGTTGGAGAGCGCGCAATTCCGCTCGGGTATTTCGTGTGCGGAATGGGATATTGAAGGATAATGGTATTATGTAGCCTAGGATGGACAGTCAAGTGCCGAGGAACTTATCGGCTTCACTTATGTCCAAAAGATTGATCAAAGTCCTTGAATTGGATATGACATCTTCCAATTCAATCATCCCATGCTCTCTATGAACCATTGGTCACAGATTCCCACGCAGACCCTGCTCCCTCTCAAAAGCCTCGAACAAACTCTTGAAATTCCCAGCCCCAAACCCATCAAACGAATTCCGCTGTATGACTTCTATAAACACCGTCGGCCGATCCCCGACATGTTTGGAGAAAATCTGAAGTAGGTATCCACGCTCGTCGAAATCAACCAAGATATTTAGCCGCTCGAGCACG